GGGTAGGAGTGAGGGTTCCCTGGTGGGGGCTGGAGCTCAGACAGGGGGACCCCTGTGATTTCCCCTGGGGGAGAGCTCTCTGCTGGGGGCTTGGGCTGGGACACCCCCACAGCCCCCCCATGGCTCTGGCCCACAGGTGCTACCCCAGAGGTGCTTTGAGACCCCCCATGGCCCACAGCACCAAGCAGCCTCCTGCCACCATGCTGTAAGTGCCACCCTGCTGCCCCCTCCTCCCTGGGGCACTGCCCCCCTGCGAGCCTTGGATGTGCTGGGGAGGTGACTTTCCTCTGCTCTGTGCTGGAGATGGGTTGGGGTCACCATTTTGGAAGGATCTGAAGCTGTTGGAATGTCCAGAGGAGGACATGGAGCTGGGGAAGGGCCTGAGGAGCAGCTGAGGACATCCAGAGGAGGAGTCTTGTCTGAAATAACTGTACTTTTTAAAGCATCCTTAGGCATGAGAGGAATTTGGATCCAAGGGAAGGGGAATGCAGTGGCTCTGGGATGATGATGCTGTTGGGCATCACCAGGAGGATTGCTGTTGGAGCTGGTCAAACCCAAGGCTGTGCACAGCCTGGAAGGGTCTTTCCTTCAGAAACTGGGAGAAGAGATGGTCTCACACCTTCCCAAAGGGTTTGTGTGAGTGTGGCGATGCAGTTGTGCTGCAGTCCCAGTGGGAAGATGTGGTGCTGGGCTCCTGCACCATCCACAGGGTCAGAGCAGTGCCAGGCTATGTCCTGAGGGGTAACAGAAAGGTCCCCCCTAAATTACCTGTATGGATGGCTGGTGTGTGTGCTAAATGGATAGGAACAGGTTGGGGTGTCTGCAGGGATTTGGCATTTTTCCAGGGGTATGATATGGCAAACACAAGGCAAATTCCAGGTGCATCCCAAGGGGCTTGGGATCGATGTGACTGTTGGTACATGTCCTTGTTAGGGCCCTGGGCTGATTCCCAGCTTGGGTGGAACCCAAGGAGTGCTCTTTGGTGACACTCTGGAGCCCTTTGTGGCTCCCCTGATGTGGTGGGAACATTCCCAACAGAGCAGGAGAAGCCTTGGGGACCGAAGGGAGTGAGTGGGACAGGTGCTGTGGGATGGAGCCAGTTGGGGGGGCTTGGGGACCCCCAGGGTGATGCTGTGTTGGGACAGGGAGGCTCTGCCCACCCAGTGTGACACCTGTGGGTGCTCAGGGGGACAGGGAGGCTCATGTCCTGAGCCCAGGTGACACTCAGGGATGTGACTGGTGCTGTTACCTGCCCCTAAGAGCAGCACCAGTGGCTCTCAACCCCCTTCCAGAAGTCCCTGACAGGTGCCAGGGCTGTCACCAGACGCTGGGACAGCCTTAGTGATGCTCTGAGTGCCAGTGCCGGGCTCTGCTGTGGCCTCTCCAGGGCCAGTGCTGGCTTTGAGGCTGTGGGTGGGGGGAACTGAGGGATCCAGAGGCCGCACTGCCAGGGGATGTGTCACCTTTGGTCCTGGTGGTGTCCCAGCCCCCTCTGACAGTGCTCTCTGGTTGCAGCCATGCCACAGGGAAGGCTCAGCACGGGAACTTCCTGGTGGCCATCAAGCAGGAGAAGGGAGAGTCAGCTCGGACGGGCACTGAGAAGCCTCACGGCGAGGAGGAGGTGAGTCCTGTGTCCATGTCCCTGCCCATAGGGTCCAAGATGCCCATCCTGGGGCTGTCCCTGCCACACAGGGTCCAAATGTCCAGCCTGGCGCTGTTCTTGTCCTTCCACTCACCCTGCAGCAGCCTGGATGAGCCAGAGGGACCTCACCAAGGGGACACCCCCAGACCTTACCAGCAGGGGCATGGGGGGGACACACTGAGATCTGAGGCTTTGCCAGGAGGGGCAGAGGGACCCCAAACCCCAGGAGGGACATGGAGGAGACACGCACAGCAGGACTGAGGCCTCACTAGGAGGGGCAGGAGACAGCCCAAGCCCCAGGACGAACGTGAAGGTGTCTGTAGGGGGAAACACCAAGACAAGCCCCACAGGGAGGAGCAGGAGGGCTGAGAGGGTCTGGGTGCCGTGTCCCGCTGATGTGATGACAGCTGCTGACCCCTGATGGACTGTCCCTTCCAGCCAGTAAAGAAGAGGGGTTGGCCCAAGGGCAAGAAGAGGAAGAAGATCCTCCCCAACGGCCCCAAGGCCCCAGTGACGGGCTATGTGCGCTTCCTGAACGAGCGGCGCGAGCAGATCCGCACGCAGCATCCCGACCTGCCCTTCCCTGAGATCACCAAGATGCTGGGAGCAGAGTGGAGCAAGCTGCAGCTCTCAGAGAAGCAGGTATCACCCCCCCGGCCTCTGGAGCCTGCACCCCTTGGGGTCTCGGTGCTGGGAGGGGTTGGCAGCCCCCCAGAGCTGGGGGGTGGGCTGGGCTGAGGCTGCTGTGTGCCCACAGAGGTACCTGGATGAGGCAGAGAGGGAGAAGCAGCAGTACATGAAGGAGCTGAGGGAGTACCAGCAGTCAGAGGCCTATAAGATGTGCACAGAGAAGATCCAGGAGAAAAAGATCAAAAAAGGTGAGTTTGGGGAGCAGCAGCTGCTAGAGCCTGTTGGGTACACAGTCAGGCTCCTGGGGTGACCTCCCTCCTCCCTTGCAGAGGATGCAGGTGCTGTGGGAGTGAACACCCTGCTCAACGGGCACCCACACAAGGTAAGGCCTGGCAGGTCTCCCTGGCTATGGGGAAACTGAGGCACGTGGCAGTCTGGGCTCGGCGCAGGAGCTGGGCTGGCTGCAGGGTTGGGTGGGCAGGGGGAGGCTCAGGGTTGTGTGTCTCGGGTTCCTGTGGTGGCAGGAGGCAGTGTAGCTGCTGCCTGCCCTGGGGTGGCCACTCCTCACCCCATCCCAGTGCTCCCCATCTGCCCAGCCCCAAAGTGCTGGGGTCCCCTCTGGGGGCCCAGCCCTGCCTGACCCCTCCCTCCTGTCCCTCAGGCTGGTGAGTGCAGTGACAGCTTCTCCACCTTTGACGTGCCCATCTTCACTGAGGAGTTCTTGGACCAAAACAAAGGTGAGGGGTTGAGAGATCCAGGCTGGGGAAGATCCGTGGTGAGGTTGGATGGAGGGACCAGGTCGTGGCTGGAGCCTGGGAGTTGGTGCCACTGAGCCTCTTGGAGGAGCTTCTGAGAGCTTCAGGCTTCAATTCCTCAATGTAAGAAGGACATAGAACTGTTGGAGCAAGGCCAGAGGAGGCCACAAAGCTGATCAGAGCACTGGGGCACCTTCCCTACAAGGACAGGCTGAGAGAGTTGGGGCTGTTCAGCCTGGAGGAGAGAAGGTTGTGTGGAGAACTCAGAGCACCTGCAGGAGCTGAAGGGGCTCTAGGAAAGCTGCAGAGAGACTCTGTTAGGAACTGCAGGGACAAGACGAGGAGCAATGGGGAGAAATTGAAAGAGGGAAATTTAGATTAGATGTTAGGCAGAAATTTTCCCTGTGAGGGTGGTGAGACACTTGGCACAGGGTGCCTCTCTGTGGCTGCCCCAGCCCTGGCAGTGTTCACAGCCAGGTTGGGTGAAGCCTTAAGCAACCTGCTCTGGTGGGAGGTGTCCCTGCCCAGGGCAGGGGTTGGGGCTGGAGGATCCCCAAGGCCCATTCCCTGACTCTGAGGGCTGTGGCTGTGCTTGGGCCGAGCTCTGTCCTGGCTGACCCCGCTGTGTCCTGGGAGAGCGA